CCAGCAATCAAAGTGCGCGCATGGCTCAACAGGCCGGGTACTATATTAAATCCCAAACCCCCAAACCCCAAACCCCAAACCCAGCAGGCTCTTGAGCCAAAATGGCTTGAGCCAGTAAACCTTAGAACAATAATCCATGTCTGCAGCACTCCAACATAGATGGAGCAGTCCCCTTTCCTCCGACCAAGTTCCTACGTGACACATTTTGCACGCCCTGTTCTTGTACACCTTTTAAACCCTTAGATTCCAAACCTTCAACGCAGAGCCCAGGCATTCGCCTGCAACACGGTGAAGTCAGCAACCCTCAAGGACTATCAAACATAACGTCCTCAGTGCAACTTCAATGTGCTCATACCTCCCTGAAGCCATAAATGCTAACTTCCCAACCCAGATCGATAAAGTCTACTCCCTTGGCCCTAAACCTTGAATCCTAAAGTGTAATCATCCAATCCCAATCTGAAAACCCGGATCCCCAATCCCGAACCCTAAGCCATAAACCTTGGGTACTGCCCCCACCCAGTAACAGTCTACATTAGGGGTCCTATTACGGGCTATATATAACCATAGTATAATTATTATCCAACTGTTGCTGAGGGGGGGCAGTATGCAACATAAACCTTAATCGCTAAACCCAGATCCCAAACTTCCAGAATCCTAAGCGAATCTCACCTGAGTAGTGTTGTAAGGAATACTATACCCCAAAGGGAGGATAGAATCTTACTCTATATTGGGTACCATAGTATCCCTAAACCCTAAACCCCTACACCCTAAACCCTCTATATTGGGTACCATAGTATCCCCAAATAAAATACTACTCGCCTGAAAGTCGTCCTCTTCCGGCAGAACTGCTCCAGGCCTGGCATTCTGAAGGCGTCTCAATGACTACACTCCCCCAAACTAACATGGAAACCCATTTGGGGCTTTCCCACAATTAGGGGTACCCTTTTAAGGGTCCCTATAATAAGGAATCTATACTATATCAGGGTCTATATTGGGGTCCCCTTATTTTGGGAAACCCATATAGTACCCTTTTAGAGGGGGCTGTAGTCTTTATAGTGACTTTTGGGGGTTTCCATGTTAGTTTCCGGGAGTGTAATCCCCTCCCCCTAATATTGAACCTCTCCACCCCTAGGGTCGTTTAGGGTTTAAGCTTCAGGGTGTTGGGTTGAAGGGTTTAGGGTTTAGGGGTGATGGTGTAGGGTTGAGGGGTTGGGATTTAGGGTTTAGGCACCCCCCACCCCTGCCTTAATATAAAATACTCCCATTATATGGTATAGTATAATATATTCGGAGTATTTAATATTAGGGCGGGTGAGGGGGTTTAATAGGGGGAGGGGATTACAGCGCCACTAGCAACCACCGTCAAGTGGACTTCAAGCCCCAAGGATACAAGTCTGCTCTTCACTCCTAGTAGCCCCCTTCGGAACCCCTGTAATGCTCCCGTATATTATAATGCCCTAAATTAGTCCCCTCTAAGGAATTTGGACTATAGCTCCGATGTGTGCGGATGCGGCGGCGCCTGTGGTGGCTGGGCTACACCCCCTAACTGGCTTTCGGTTAGCTGGGAATGAACCAATGGATCCTTATAGTAATCCCTATACAACCCATCGTAGTAGTTTGTATTTTCTTCTCCATTCCTTCATTCCCACCCTAAACCCTAAACCCTACATAACCTATTATAGTAGTTTCCATTTGCTCTTCCATTCCTTCATTCCCAGCTAACCAAAAGCCCCCAGAAGTCCAACTTGAACCACCCTAAACCCTAAACCCAGGTCAAGCCTTCGCCACACCACATGGGGAATGCTCTGCCGAGCCTCAGGGGCTTTCTGGGTCTAAACCCTAAACCCTAAACCCTACCCTAAACCCTAAACCCTAAAACCTAAACCCTACCCTAAACCCTAAACCCCTAAAGTTTAGGGATGGAGTTTGGGAATTTTGGACGTAGGGCTTCTGGGCCAGGGATGAAAGACTTTAAATTCATGAGGCTGAGGGTTTAGTATTAACTGTAGGGCTTATTCCAGGACCCTCCTTGTACCCTTAAATAGGGGTATCTGGTCCCTAATAGTCGGTATTTAGGGTATAATAGAAAGTAGAAGGAGGGTCTAGGTTCTTGAAGGCCTGTTTGGTTTGGGGCTTAGGGTCTGGGTATCTTGTTGTTTTTGCAGTGTGGGGCTTGGTGTCTAACAGCTGGCTTGTGTGGTTTTTGGTTGAAAATGATTCTGCATCTCCAACTTACAAATGGCGGTCGCTCCGATATGTATCTAAACATGATAACCACTGCTACGGAGACACGCAATTTCTGGCATTACCACATTTACCTGCGCTAGGTGTTGGGACCTGAGCCTCTGCGTAGTGTAGACTCCTAAAGATCTGACTGGCGATTGGGGCAACGTTATAAATTGAAACGTAACGACACAAGGATTATACACAGTCAGATTTCGGGCTTTCATTGGCCACCAACTGCGGCCGCAGCTCCCCCCCTTTCTGGGTTCCTTTTCTTGCGGCACCGCTTTGCCTTCCCCTAAGGATCCAAGGGCCGAACAAAAAAATTGGGTTTTAGGGCCCAAATGCCATGATATTGCAGTATTTGGGCCCTAAAACCTTATTATTTGGGTCCTTGGACCCTTAGAATTTTATAATTGTGGGGATGTGGCTTTATTTGAACTAACGACGGGAATCTTCGGAGCAACTCCACTTCCTTGCCACCAAGCAGGGGAAGTAAGGACTATACCAGGACCCTCCTTGTACCCTTAAATAGGGGTATATGGTCCCTACTAGTAGGTATTTAGGGTATAATAGGTGGTAGAAGGAGGGTCTAGGTACAGGCGACTATAATGCGCGATGAGGGGGGGGGGGGCATTGTCTGTCTAAAGCTCATAACGCGGACTTGTGTTCGTGGAATTTCAGAAGCCACTGTTTGCAGTTTGTTTGTTTCGTACGGGAAGTACAGTACAGCTGGGGATATAATACAAAGTGGGCCACTCAGGGTTTAGGGCCTAGCGTTTCGAGGCTCAAGGTATGATGTTGGTGTCTCTTTCAAACTAACCCTTAGGGTCCAAGCACCAGATACCTGCCGAGAACCTTCACCACAAGTACCCTCCCCCCCCATTTGCCCACAGCATCTTCATTTTACGTGCGCATCCACGGTCATAGCATCCATATAAATACTTCCACAACTGCAAAATTTCTGCTCCTTACAGCGAAACAAGATACTAGCGAATGCACGCCCAGACCCATGATAACATCCACCACGACCGCATCCACAACAAGTCGATCCATGCCAGCACCCATGATGGCGGTCACGTCGACCGCATCCACAACCACCAAAACACTGCTATACACAGATGAGCGGGCATTTGGCGCAGGCAAATAGAGGGGGGGGAGCGCCGTACGAGTAGTACCACGCGAGTCCCAAGTACCTGATTAATGGGTACGTGGACTCTTAGGATAAACAGTGAGCCATGGCTTTCTGGTTTCGTAGTGCATCTCAAGGCCTATCAGCAAGGTACCCCACAAGAGGACCTGTCTGTATCATAACTAAAGCCTTGATCAAGAGCAACTTAGGCAGACGTAGGGAACACATTCACAGGCAGATCCTAGAGCGTAGACTATCTCCTGAACTCGAACAGGGACCAAGCCCTACCCCTAAGTTTCAACCCTACTCCAGCCCAAGGGTCCAAGTACTGGAATACTGGGGCTTTAGGATACCTAAAGCTCCCAACTTTGAGGTACTTGGCACTTGGACCCTTAGGATCAAGCATCCCAAACCCAGAACTTGTCCGCCACGCTGAAGGACCCCTGCCACGCGTAAGCGAATGCTGCAGAGGCGGTCCTACACATTTCAGGGTTTAGGGTGCAGGGTTTGGGGTTTAGGCGGTTAACGGCTGAGGATTTAAGGTTTCAGGCTTGCACGGTCAAGATATGAAAACCCTGGAACTGACGGAGTCCTTAGCATGAAATATTAGCAGCTTCGTACATCGCCAAGGCTAGCTCCTGCAGATTCAGATTTGCCCAGAGCTTCTTAAATTCTAAAACCCGCGCGAAGCTGACATAGGCTTAGTGTTTAGGAGTTCGGGTTTTGGAGTTTCATACTTCAGGGCGGACAGAGTTTTGCTCCAGACACCCAACGTTAAACTTTGAAACGCCATGGTCAAGGGTCAAGGTCTCCTTGAAAAGGTTAAGGGTCGTACCTCTAAGGCAATACCACCCCAATATACCCCAGATAATCCCGGGGCGGGTTCCCTGGAACCATGTTTTGATAGCAACCCCACAGGCAGGCGTGCAAACCTGAAGTTACAACCCTGGAGCCTTTGACCCTAAACCCTAAACCCTTAAACCCTAAACCCTATAGCAAACCCTAAGCCTCTATATATCCTGGCATCCTCGCTCTAAGGTGATGGGTCCCTATCCACCTTTAGAGGTTCCCCTTCCATAGCCTTGGTTCCACATACAGTAGCCTAATTCAGGGGGCAGTAGTTTTGGGGGTATTGATAGTAGTAGCAGTAGTAGCAGTAGTAGTCGTAGTAGTAGCAGCAGCAGCAGTAGTAGTAGTAGTAGCAGTAGTAGTAATAGTAGTAGTAGTAGTAGTAGTAGGCGTCCCCCCCTAGGGACTACACTTTACTAAAAATGGAATATTATGGGAAAGGGGTGGGGGGGTGGGTAGTTCCGTGTTGAGAAACTTGAATCGGTAGGCAACAACTCGTGGGATGTGCGTTTTGGAAGGTATAGGGACTATAGCATTAGGGGGTTTTGCGGCCTATGATCCACGCAGGAAGTTCTTCGACCGGTATCACTTTCCAGTGGCAGGCACCACGGCGAGGTGATACTAAGATGTC